ATTCCCTGCTCTAGAAAAGATTGGATCATGGGGCGAACTCCCTCAACCTTGGCTTCTGACAGGGGGTACCGTTTAAGGTAGATAGGAGTTACATCTGGTTTTAGTGTGGCTTTTGAAAGGGGTGCAGTTGACAAATCCTACATCTAGCTTAGATAAAGCCCACACAGAGGAAGGAACATCAGACAAATCAATAGTTTCATAACACAACATAGACACATCAATACCACCAGAGGGCATGCAAGTAATGGCAGCTCCCAGAATACCAAGAAGATCCCTTCCCAGCAAACTAACAGGACATTTAGGTATTAGACGAAAAGGGTGCACAGTAGAAGAACCGTTAAGAGGACAGAAAACGGACAGTGGTGGTGTGACAAAAGTGGGTGTTGACACTCCATTAATACCCAATGAAGGTGTAGACTTTTCCCTTGTCCCCTGATTGTAGGCAGGGCCAGATTAAGAGCCCAGTGGGCCTGGTGCTGACAATTATGACGGGCCTAATTACAGAATCATATTGACCAAAAACAGTAAAACACTCCCAATCATCATGGATCTGATGGAGATGGTGCAGGAGAGAAAGAAAACAGCAACTATAAGAAAACACATACCCTAGGCTAATCTCTCACTAATTTATGTTTTCATCTTTCAAGTAAATCCATAACCCCTAACAGCAGTGTCCAGTCAAGCAGGAAGTCAATGGGCGGGGTAAAAGGGTGTGCCACTGACACAAATCACATAACCTGCCAAAAGGGGCGAACATGCCCAAAAAGAGGACATGTCTGCTCAAAGAATTAGGCCAGCCTGGCATGAATGCATGTCAGGCTGCCTGCCAATCATGCAACTGGCCAACTAAGGGCATACTATGCAGACAGCACTCTGAGCTTGGCATAAATGCATCTAATGATGCGCTCACTCAACGCTTTCTAAGGACTGTCCCCTAGCACTCGCTAGTCCACTTGTCTCCTTACCTTCTAACTAGCAGGCAGAAGCTCCTGGTATATGGCCTGGGACAGAGAAAAGCTGTATGTAGTGAGTGTAGAAGAAAGGGAACATGCCACAGTGTTAGAGAGACCAAAGTCAGCATTACCTTAAAGGATCACTATAGGGTCAGGAACACAAACATGAATTCATGACCCTATAGTGTTAACACCACCATCTAGCCCCCCTGGGCCCCTCATGCCTCCATAAATATAGCAAAATCCTACTATATTCAAGCCTGAAGCTGTAACTCTGCATGCTGTTAGACTCATAAAAACAAGCAGTCTGCTGACATCATTAGAAGTGGTGGCCTGATCCAATCACAGTGCTTCCCCATAGGATTGGCTGAGACTGATAAAGAGGCAGATCAGGGTCAGAGCCAGCATGATTTAAACACAGCCCTGGCCAATCAGCATCTCCCTATATAGATGAATTTAATTAATGAATCTCTATGAGGAAAGTTCAGTGTCTACATGCAGAGGGAGGAGACACTGAATGTTTGGATGCATTTTAGGCAGCCATGACCCAGGAAGGATCTCTAACAGTCATCTAAGGAGTGGCCAGTGAAGTTATCACTAGGATGTAATGTAAACACAGCATTTTCTCTGAAAAGACTGTGCTTACAGCAAAAAGCCTGATGGTAATGATTCTACTCACCAGAACAAATTCAATAAGCTGTAGTTGTTCTGGTGACTATAGTGTCCCTTTAACTATATTCATTATCAGCCAGTCCACACAAGTTTTGTTCCCATGCATCCCTCTTAAGTTTCCATACTTAAGTAAGAGTATGTGAAAAGTAGTTAGGGTTGCCACCTTTCTTGGCAAAACATACCGGCCTTACTAATTTGCATAATTAAATATGTCTGGTTGACATCACATGATGTAAATCAGAAGGAGTGACTTAAGAGAAAATGCTGTAAAATCACCAAAACAACCCCTACTGGCCAGTGCTGGTATTGCATAGTAATCTCCATTTAAACTGAGAAAAATACCAGCATTTATATTGCCAGTATCACTGCAATATTGGCACCAGCCAGGCAGCCTCAAATACTGTCTGTGCCAATACAGGGAGTGCAGAATTATTAGGCAAGTTGTATTTTTGAGGATTAATTTTATTATTGAACAACAACCATGTTCTCAATGAACCGAAAAAACTCATTAATATCAAAGCTGAATATTTTTGGAAGTAGTTTTTAGTTTGTTTTTAGTTATAGCTATGTTAGGGGGATATCTGTGTGTGCAGGTGACTATTACTGTGCATAATTATTAGGCAACTTAACAAAAAACAAATATATACCCATTTCAATTATTTATTATTACCAGTGAAACCAACATAACATCTCAACATTCACAAATATACATTTCTGACATTCAAAAACAAAACAAAAACAAATCAGTGACCAATATAGCCACCTTTCTTTGCAAGGACACTCAAAAGCCTGCCATCCATGGATTCTGTCATTGTTTTGATCTGTTCACCATCAGCATTGCGTGCAGCAGCAACCACAGCCTCCCAGACACTGTTCAGAGAGGTGTACTGTTTTCCCTCCTTGTAAATCTCATATTTGATGATGGACCACAGGTTCTCGATGGGGTTCAGATCAGGTGAACAAGGAGGCCATGTCATTAGATTTTCTTCTTTTATACCCTTTCTTGCCAGCCACGCTGTGGAGTACTTGGACGCGTGTGATGGAGCATTGTCCTGCATGAAAATCATGTTTTCTTGAAGGATGCAGACTTCTTCCTGTACCACTGCTTGAAGAAGGTGTCTTCCAGGAACTGGCAGTAGGACTGGGAGTTGAGCTTGACTCCATCCTCAACCCGAAAAGGCCCCACAAGCTCATCTTTGATGATACCAGCCCAAACCAGTACTCCACCTCCACCTTGCTGGCGTCTGAGTCGGACTGGAGCTCTCTGCCCTTTACCAATCCAGCCACGGGCCCATCCATCTGGCCCATCAAGACTCACTCTCATTTCATCAGTCCATAAAACCTTAGAAAAATCAGTCTTGAGATATTTCTTGGCCCAGTCTTGACGTTTCAGCTTGTGTGTCTTGTTCAGTGGTGGTCGTCTTTCAGCCTTTCTTACCTTGGCCATGTCTCTGAGTATTGCACACCTTGTGCTTTTGGGCACTCCAGTGATGTTGCAGCTCTGAAATATGGCCAAACTGGTGGCAAGTGGCATCGTGGCAGCTGCACGCTTGACTTTTCTCAGTTCATGGGCAGTTATTTTGCGCCTTGGTTTTTCCACACGCTTCTTGCGACCCTGTTGACTATTTTGAATGAAACGCTTGATTGTTCGATGATCACGCTTCAGAAGCTTTGCAATTTTAAGAGTGCTGCATCCCTCTGCAAGATATCTCACTATTTTTGACTTTTCTGAGCCTGTCAAGTCCTTCTTTGACCCATTTTGCCAAAGGAAAGGAAGTTGCCTAATAATTATGCACACCTGATATAGGGTGTTGATGTCATTAGACCACACCCCTTCTCATTACAGAGATGCACATCACCTAATATGCTTAATTGGTAGTAGGCTTTCGAGCCTATACAGCTTGGAGTAAGACAACATGCATAAAGAGGATGATGTAGTCAAAATACTCATTTGCCTAATAATTCTGCACTTCCTGTAAACTAAAAGCCAGGTGGAATCCCTAAGAGTAGTGTGGGAAAAAAATAATTTTTTTTTTTTTTTTTTAAATCAATGGGCCTATTCAATGGGCCTGGGCCTGGAGCTGCAGCTCCATCAGCCCCTATGTTAATCCGGCCCTGATTGTAGGTGTCACAGAGACTGGAACACGTAGCTCCAGTATCTACCAAAAATGGCAAGGATCTACCTTCTATGACCAGAATGCAAAAAGGCTGATCATCATTAGTAGAGGACAAAAGTGGAAACGTTTGAGTGTAACCTTCAAGGCAGCTCTATTAGGGCCATGGGATGTGATGGGTGTGCTGGTCAGTGGTGTTGGGAGTGGGCCTGGTGTTGTTCTTGCCTACCGGGCGTATTTTGAGAATTGTGGGGTTGTTGGGGCGCCTGGGGTTTCCTGGAGGGTGGACACTCATTCCTCCAGTGGCAATGCTGGCCACAGTTGAAACAAGTGTTCCTGTCTATTCCTCATTGGTTACTCCTGCCCCTATAACCCTGATTTCCCTGTCTCCATCCCCTTGCCTCTCTTTGACCACCCCTTCCACGGGCTCTATGTGCTCCATTCCATCCTCTCTCTCGATCCTGTGTAGGTGGACAGTGTTGCAATCCCTGAGCATAATAAGCAACCTTACTTCCTGAATCTTTTCTTAAGTCAAAACAACCTGCATTTTCCTTCTCTATAACCTTGGTAAGAAAATCTGAGCCACCCAAATTGGCTCAATATAGAAAATAATCCAGGCACTCCAACAAATTCCAAAATAAAGGCAATTTTATTAAAACCAGGAGCTACACAATTTTATTAGAACCAGGAGCTACAGGCTGTGTAGCTCCTGGTTCTAATAAAATTGCCTTTATTTTGGAATTCGTTGGAGTGCCTGGATTATTTTCTATATTGAACTATTCTACCTTTGGTCCATTCTGGTACTGGGACTTGTCCATTGGAGCACCCCTGATTCCATGTTGAAGGGCTGAGTGCACTTGTTTCACAAGTAAAGAATACTGTATTTTAAGGAGATCCATATCATCTCCAGACTTCAAACCTGCCTCATCCTTCCAACACTTGTAAAATCTCTTTACAAAAATACCAATCTCTTCCTTTGCACCTTGCTTACATGCCAAAGCAGTGGATATAGACTGCTTATTCTTCCATAATCTCAACATTTCAGCTTCCATCTCGTCCCATATTTTAGCATATCCTGCTAAAGTACTAAGCTCATAAACACCATTACTGCCAGCCACTCCAACTCCAGTACCATTGTCTGTCTCACTGATAGAGGGTACCCTAGACCAATCCCAACCAGAATCTGAGTCATACCCTAATATTCCATTTATAATTAACTATATGTTTATCTGTGTCATGTTCTGTCCTAAGCACCTTCTTTTCAGAAGAAGTTTGGGGCACCTTGAATAATGTCCTTGAGTACTCTGGGATTAATGGGTTTCATTATTAACTGATTACCAACAGTCATGAACGGGGCAGTAAGATCAGCACCTTCTAATTCTGGCATCTCTACATCATCATCACCTTGCTTATGTACATATGATTTTAACACCTTGCCACTTTTAAGTTTAACTCCCATTTGTACTGTTAATTTAATTCTACCAAGAGGTGGCGGTGGATATTCTATATCAGAATCTGGTGTAGATGATGATTCCTGTAATTGCTGTGACTGTGAATTAACAGCTGCAGCAATACAAATATCTTCTATATCATCCTCTGAGGGGGCATTAGGTACAGCAGGATACATTGCTTTATAGGAAGGTGGGGGTTGTGGTTGGGCATGACCAGAGGCTGACTGGGTAGGGAGCACAATTGGTGGTGGATATGGATTCTCAGGAGGGGCTTCTATGGGAAAGCAGTCAACAGTTCCCTTTCTCTTAGCCAGGTCTTTCTTAGCTCCCTTTAAAACCTTTTCTGTTACACTACAAGGAAACCAATGAGGGGCTATCTGCAACCAATTTTCACCTCCTGCTTTCATATATTCCTTATCCCAAACTGGATCAGGACCATACCACGGCCATGACTTCCTATCTCCCAAACACAATCCTCAAATCATATTCATATGGAAATCATCATTAGCTCTACACCTGGGAAAAGGATCAGATGACTTCATAGACTCTGTCCATCCTGCTAAATTTGACACAAAGGGGATTGTAAGAAATCCTCCTTGTGCTCCTATTCTAGTAACATAATTTAGACATGACTCCCCTGGGTGGGGTAAAGGGTAAGAAATAGACTGATTATTTCCCATATTTCTGGCTCAGGGTAGAGACACTACCTACTTACCAATAGTGTGTTTCTACTTTACAAGCAAAATAGACACAAAGCACACACAGGGTGACCAGAGGAACGAGAAGTTTGGGTTTAGCAAATTAAGACACAGACACGAAAGAGTGCTTAACAAGTTCTCAGTGAGTATATTTTCAGGGCTAGCATTTATACACAGTTTGTCAGGCAAGCAGCGAGATTTATCGTTTCCTTGTAGTTAATAGTACATACTTGTCTGACATTAAAAGATAAGCATTTGAATAAAGACAGGACAGGAACATCCTGAGGTCGAGCGAGGTCATACATCCTGTAGAAGGGAGGCCTCTCAAAGCATGTTACAGAATACATCTGCCAAGGTCAGCATAATTATTTCAAACATTATTTTAAAGCATATAAAACAAAAAGAGTTAACTATTTCATATCCTTACACCTCTGTATCTGAGAGATAATTGAGTGCGAAAACTATAACTCAACAGACTGCAGTCATCTATTCTATGATGTATTATAAATATTTATATACACTGAACAAAATTATAAACGCAACACTTTTAACATGGTTTCCATTACTTTCCCCACTACTGAAGTAAGGCTTACTGGCCTAAAGTTGCCCGACTCCTCCCTACTACCTTTCTTGTGAATGGGCACAACATTCGCTAACTTCCAATATTCTGGGACTACTCCTGTTAACAATGATTGGTTAAATAAATATGTTAATGGTTTTGCTAGTACACCACTAAGCTCTTTTAATAACTTTGGGTGTGTTCCATCAGGTCCCATTGACTTATTTGTCTTTACTTTTGACAGTTGAAATAGAACCTCTTTGAAGCAGCACTCTCCAGAATATCTCCAATCACACACTTTGAAGCAACACTCTCCAAAATATCTCCAATCACACACTTTGAAGCAGCATTTAGATGTAGCAACCAAGCTATATTAGCCAAGCTAATGACCACAACCCTTATATAACTCTTAAAAGCACCAGCCACTAGGAATGTTTAACACCTGGGTAGGCCTATGCTTATTTGTAAACAATAGCTAATTAACAAACAATCAATAGCAAGTAACCAGCTTAGTCAAATCAAATGCCTTATCAAATTACCAACAGGAAATCAAACCTTGTGCAATCAGTAACCTTTTCCTATAGATGAATCTTACCTGTAACAGTAAACAAGAAAACTCTTAGCAAAATCTTAGACAGCTCAAGATTCTGTAAAACTCTCCGCAATATCTACAATCACCCACTTTGAAGCAGCAGTTACCTCCCTCTCCTGTAGTAAAGTACCAATGGGTCAGTGAGGGAGATTGTTGAGGCTGGCACTTTGATAGCATTGGCAAGCACTGGCTCTACATGGGCTGGCAGTGCAGATCCTCTGATCTCCCCTGTCAGCCTCGGCCAAAGGCCATTGTGGCCCTGGCTGACACTGTTCAGAACATTTTTGTGATACCTGGGTCCCATTATTTAATTTTATTTACTGCCTGGGTTGTGCCGTCAAAGCTCTCCTTTAAGGGAGATTTTAGGCACCTTAACAACTTCATTTTATTGAAGGTGTTAAAGTGCCTGCAGTCCTGGCCCCTCTCTCCTAACCTTAAAACCCTTTAGTTCAGTAAGAAGAGGGCTTAGAAGAGCGACTTAAAGCCATGTCTCCGAGTCTTCTGGGTATGAGAGCTGAGAATCTTACTTCCCGGTGCTCATACCATGACATCACGTTATATACAAGCCTCCAGGATAATGCAACCCAAGGAGGAGGCTGCAGCAGCGCCGAGGGAGACTTGGCGTTGGACAAAAGGTGAGTAATTTGTTTTATTTTACATTTTTTTGTTAAATGTTTTTCTTTTACATGTTGGGGTGCTAATTAATTAGTGTTGTAGCATTCGGAATAAAGATATGAATTCCTAATGTTACAGTGTTCCTTTAATCACTTTTATGATGGGATCTTGTTGCCCCCAAAATATTTAATTTAATTTATGTTTGCATTAAGAAAATGTCACTACTGGGCATGTTGTGCAGTGGGATATTTTCACTTACAGATATGTGCCTGTTATATCTAGGTAAAAGGTTTGAGTGGGATGTTTATACCCATTGAAACAGACTGAGATTAACGAAGCTGCTGATTATAAAGGAGTTCTTAAATATTGGGTATGCAACTCCTCCTTTTAACAACTCTGTTGACCTAGTTTGGGAATTTCCCTTAAGAGAGCTGCTGGGAAATAGAGAGCCTCTGATTTACAAAGGTCTATTTCTTCATATGGGATTTTCCTGTAATTGACCACAAAATAAATGAATAAGTGATGAACTACCTAAACACCCATTACAAAAGCAGCTTTGTTCTCTGCGTCAATTACATCTATGAAATTTATCCCTTTTCTTGATTTTATTTAAGGGGTAACTAATATGAAATATTACTACTATAAATAATGAAATAATAACCTTCAGCTTTAGCTAAAATCCATCTTTTCTTTTTTTCTTTTATTTTGTTAATACATGAGGCTACAAATTGACATCATTTTATATTTGCATTAGATATTTGCACTTAAAACAGATTTATGTATTAAAACAATACATTACTTTCCCATAGCTGATTTTTTTCACAAGCATTGTAAACAATTTTCCTGGAAATAAAATTGTATAGGAATCGATCACAATATGCTCTTTTGCACAATCAAAATAACTGTTCCTGGCCAAGCCATCGATGGAAGCAGAAGTGTGAGTCCTGAGCTCCCTCTCCCCTGAGCACCTAATCCGCTTACATTTGCACTAAATATACACCATCTAATCCCAAAAATCGATTATACTGGCAAGAGAACCCCAACACCACCTTTTAAAACCATGGGTGGCAACCATGCAAACAAATGCCGCCATCGGTGGCCACGCTTTTACGGACCCAAGAAAATGGACGGCCATCTCTCTCACAGGGCCCACCTGAATCAGGCAGTGATGAACATCGCAAGAGACCACCTTCCTATCAGGACCAGCCTTTATACTTTTTTCAAGATCTGGCCCGTTCAACGCTGCCAAAACAGAGGGAACTCAAGCCTTTTACTATTGCACTGTCGCACCGAGGGTGGAAATATATGTGGGGTCACCCCTTTAAGCTAGTTGTGAAAAAAGACCTACACCTTGCACCAGATTAACGAAATGCAGGACTTCGCAAACCACATCGGTATATCACTAATTCACCAATTCCCACCAGAAGCAACAGGCCCGCCACGAGACTATGGGCCCAGGCCTGGGGGCACCCCATTTCCACTCCGCCAGCAACATAGGAAAAGACCCACACCCACTCCGAAAGGGTCCCACTAAAGCACCACTTGAACTTTTCCACGAGGGCTATGGACGCTACCTAGCTGAACTGCAGTTCTCATCTAGTGCAAGGATCAGGTTTTATGACATCTCCATGACATAGTTGAAATTAATTTTCCTGTTTATATGTTATGTTTTATGCTTAACCACATTATTATTGCACTGCTAACAAGTGTGGGCCAAGGCCCGTTTCAGGTTGATATTCTGTTAACATGTATATAGAGAGCACACCGCCAGTGCACCTGAAGTTGAGTATTTCCACAGACAAAGGGAGCACAGCCGGAAACAATCCTGGGCCCAACCTCTGATGTTAGTGACGGCACGTTACATGCCGCAGAGGGGGTACACTTCATGCCTTGATATCCCTCTAGAGTCCCATGAATCCCCATCTAGGCATCCGCAGGGGCCTAGGCATCTGGACCGACTGAAGCCTAATAACATACACCCCGAGAGAGTTATAACTCCTTATGGTATACCCAGATGCTCTTACATAATCTCCAATCATATCCCATATCCCATATGCACGTGTCATGGTTGATTATATATTTCCTACCTGTTCTATGTTAAATTTTGTATTTATTGTGTATTAATATTGTTTTTGTATTTTATTGTACTGTAATGTAACAATGCAATGATTTGTGGACCCAGGACATACTTGAAAACAAGAGAAATCTCAATGTATCTTTTCTGGTAAAATATTTTATAAATAAAATTAATAAAATAAATATCACTAAGTATATTAGTTAACTATATATTACACACTCTTCCCCAATCAATCCGATCTCTATTCTGTAAAGTACATGCCCCATAATGCATCACGACCGCCACTAAACATGATCATTACTCTCAGTTTTTATACATCAAATAAGCCTTGTTTTTGTACACCTACTTCACCTTTATCCCTACCATCTTAAACCTAATAAACAAAGTTAGTTTTTAAAGTAAATAAAATGTATTAATAGTATGATGATGACATCTTTAAGACATCATTTTGGCACCAATTTTAAAATTATTTAACCCTTATTCCCTATAAAAACCCTTGCATGCCAGGTCACTATTTATATCTCCACTTGAAAAAGCCCCTGAGGCGAAACGTATTGTGGTTATTTTATATGCTGTTTTATCCTGTTTTCTGCTTGTTAAATAAAGGTATTTTGGCTTATACTACACTTTACAGAGTGTGCCATTTTACTCTTTTTTTTACATTTTATTACTACTGCTATTTTTATTATTTTTACTTCAAACTGCACCTGATTTTTAACTCCAGTTAGTACTACTCTCAAGATATCCTTGGTGGGGATTATACCACCCGCGCCCTATCCATCGAGCAGTTCGCCTGCTCTGGTAAATGTGAGTACATTCTTCATTTAATTTATACCTTCAAATATTTTATATAGAAGGCACTATTG